GAAAGATATATTACCTATGTAAAAGGAAAATATATTCAATATATTACCTTTATAAAAGGAAAGATATATTACCTATGTAAAAGGAAAATATATTCAAAAATGAAATAGAATATACTAACATAACAGTTGCACAGAAAATATTCCAAGATACATAACAAGATAACATTACACATAATATTTTTTCCTCAAAAATATTTTCACGTCCCTACAAAAGGCATTTTTATTTGTATTTTTAAATAAATCAATAACCTCGTTTTTAATAATTTGACATGTCAAATTTTAAAATGGCACATTGTAAAGTTGTCATATACCATGATTTCAACTAAATTATATATAACTAAGAAGCTTGATATAAATAACATATAGATAAGAGATGATGAAAATATGGGTAAATGTTGACAGGCATTCTTTCCTTTAGGAGGGATAAAGAGCAACTGCTGTTTTCATTTAATTTCAATATACGTCTGTTTTCAGACTGTGCACATTGGTCATGTGTTAATTTTATATCAGAAAAAAACGCTTGAGCAAGACGGGAGAAACAAAAAATCCACTATCCTCCTAATACAGCTGGTACTCAGTATTCACTGATTCTGCATCCAAGGTTTCAACCAATCAAAAATATATGGAAAAAATGTACAACAATACAATGATAAAAATAATACTAAGAAAAAACAATAGCGTATAACACCCTTTTACATATCATTTACATAGTATTAGCTATTATAAGTAATTTAGAGATGATTTGAAGTATACGGAAGCATGCTCATAGGTTATATGCAAATGTTATTGCATATATCAAGGACCTGCAGATACATGGATTTTGGTATCTGAGGGTCATGGGTGTGGGGTGTCCTGGAACAAACCCCCATGACACCCAGGGACACCCAGGGATAACTGTACTCCAAATAAACCCATCTGCTCCAAATACTTTGGCTCAAAGTTGAGAAAAATCTTTAGAAACTCAAGAGGTTTTTACTTCACATATATCAACATATTTTACACTCCGTGATTTACAAGAGGCAAAAGGTTTTCCAAAATATTCTTGTATTAAAGAGAAGTCAATTCAAATGAGAGGAAACCCTGTGAGAAAGGAAAAAAAAAAATTGGTCTAGCCAAAGGCTCATTACAAAAAAGAAGCCAGGTGTGACTCTGGGATGGGAAGAAGAGGTCATGTAAATACACTTTTAAAACTAAAATCTAGGACCCACACTGCCTTCTTCTTCCACTTTTTTTTTTTTTATTAACAGACTTTGGAAGGACACTGTGATGCACAGATGCAGATAATGACTAGTGTCATCTTCTAATACTTTCAAAAGTGAAGCAGAATGTGCTCTCTGCTTCCAGCCTAGGGAACGCACCGTTCAGGAGGTATATGCATCTCACTTGGACTCCTGTGGGGAAGTGTGTTTGGGTAGGTCAGGGGACACCAGGTAAGGGAATAAATGGATTAGGAAATATTGTTGCTACTGTCAAAGGAAGAAAGTGCTAACATCTTCTGGTGGAGCCACCAAACCATCAAGGTTAGGTATTATTCCAGACACCTGCAGAAACCTTTAGTGGCTTGGTAATTTGCATAGAACTATATGCAGCCCATAGCTATAAAACCAAAGAATCAGCTGATTTATCTACTGGGAAAGACAAAGACCATATTCAGAAGAAAAAGATAAAGTACAAACAATTAAGTATTTTAGGAAATATCAGGCACAGACCTTAACTTTACTATGTTATACAAAGCAGGAAAGAAGAAAATAAATTTTGAATCCATTTATCTTTTCATAACCCTCAAAGTAAATAAATTAAAATCTTTATTCCATTCTGAGAATTTATTTTGGAAAAGAGATGTTTTAAGAAAACACTGGCAGTAAAACTGAAATTTCTTTTTCATCTTCAATGAGACTTCATTTCATGATTCATTTTGCACAATTCTACTATAAATTGCTCCTTTATTTTCTTTTTAAAACAGGAATTAATACATTTAGACATGGGAAATATAGAAAATTACATTTTATTATATCCTGCTTTCATATACAGAACATTGTGATTTTCTTTTTAATTTCAATGATATTTTACCATCCAAAAGATAAACAGAAATATATTTAAATACAAATGGAAGCAAATAATAAATCTAACAAGGCAAACATTTGCTAATGGGCACATCTTGCATACCAGAGGTCCCATAGCTCTGAGGAATTGCCACCTATACCATACATCATCAATTAGAAAATTTTGAATGTCTTAATTTTTTTCAAATTTAAAAATATATGAAGTCAATATTGCAAAATATTAGGGGTATAGCAGACTGTCTCATTTTTATTAATAAAATGTAATAATATGTTCTATGCATTTGCTCCAAAATTACGAGTCTTCAGCTAAAGACCTTTTGGACACTTGAGGTTGCTTTTTCTGTCATACTCTGAGTGAAAATCGGGTGAAAAAAAGTGAAACTTCAGAGTTGAAATTTCAGCTCATTGTTTATTTGTCTTTGTTTCTCCACTGAGCTAATTAAATTAAGAGTTTGACATTCAAAGCTGGTTTGGGAAAAGAAAGAGGAGGCACAACAAGTTGGGATTTAGCCCAACTTCTAATAAATATGGAAGACAGGTAGTCATCTGAACAGCTTTCGTGATGACTTTCTCTTCATTCACTATGCTTTCAAAAATAGTAAAATGGGTTATTAGGGGAAGGGAAAGAAGAACATCTTATAATTATCTAGCTTAGTGTTTAGGTTAGAGGAATTATACCTATTTGAAGCAAAAATTCAATTCAAAATAATTACATTTCTAAATCCATTAATTTCCAAAAGACATCTTCATTATACTCTTTATTTTCAAGTGGAATTCTACTGCTCTATATTTTTTCTTAATACCTTTATTCCCTACTTTATCCCCCCTCCCAAAAAGCCAGAAATACATTCAAATAAATAATTTAGGGAGCTTTTTATCATGTCATAGTATTATACTTAAATAAATTTGTGCTAAATTTAAAGAAACGTAATATTCGTGAAGCAGTTCATCAAGAGAAGCTACATTTTTTTCTGTCTCTCATTTAGTTTTATAATTTTGGTTGTAATTTTTTAAAAATACTTAATTTAAAAACTAACACGCTTATTTTTTAAATATTCAAATAGTATGGCGGTTTCTTTAAAAATATTTCTATATCTCAGTTTCTATCTCCTCAACTCTGAGTTTGGTATGCATCTTTCCATAACTCTTTTCATAATAAATAGGAACATATCCAAGCATGTGTACACACACACACACACACACACACACACACACACATAAATACACACAGAGATGGGTGTATATTTTCATAAAGGTAATGCTCTATATGTTATTCCATAACTTAAATTTCTTCATTTCTTCTCTTATCCTTCAATCTTAAGCATACTTCTTGTCAGAATAAACAGATTAACTCTGTTCTTCCCAATGGGAGTCAAATGTTCCATTTTATAATTGTACCCTAATTTATTTAACCAAATTTCTATTACTGTGTCAATTGTAGTCTTAGAGGAGTACATAAACATGCTTAAAAATTCAAACCATACAAAATTGTCTAAAACAAAAAATTAAGCCCTCCTTCCCCTCCTCCAAAAGCTAAACAGTTTCAAGCATTTTCCGTGGTTTGATTTTTTTTTTCCTGATGGCTAACATTATAAATTTTAAATAGTATATCTACACAAGTGCCAGTTGATCTGTTCTTGCTGATTTTCAGGGTTTGCTGATCAGTATTTGATTTGTTTGATCAGTGTTTGCTGATTTTCTTTAATTAAAATGAAGAATTTAGCATATTTACAAGTATCTGTTCCTTTCCCCTTAGTCTTCATTTTATTATTTTGTCGATGTTAAATTTTATAACTTTTAATTCTGCTTTGTTTGAGAAATGTTATTAAGTCTTCCTTGATGAGTGTATAAACTGAGTCTAAGAATTCAAGCCCAGTGAAACCACATTTGTTGTATTATGACTGGATATTAGTTATTTACTGCAGAGCCACACGGTGTAAAGGGCCCGTGAGAAGAGAATGCAGCCCTCCAGGGCATGCACACAATTTCCCCAAACATTGAGGTCCAAAAGACTCTTTTTTTAGTTGGTTTTATCTTTCTTAGCTGAATTCTGGTTTACTGGAAAGATGACAAAGTATTACCAGCAACATAGGGGTCTGCTCGGCAGCTCACAAACTGTCGGGCCCAGAGCTAGACCCTTCCATTTTCTGAGCCTTATCCTTCTCATCTGCAGACTGAGAGACAAACTAGTAACGTCTCCACTCTAGCTTTCGCATTTCAGTACTCTGAAGTATTGAATATCCTGTAGGTATTTTGGGTACAATGAAACCACAGCCTGATAAGCAGAGTTCTCCCATCCCTATTTCTAATTCCACTCAACAGATCTTGAGCGATGGCCAGAGACATGTTCTTCTTAATGCCTTCATCATGTTTGGGACCTGGAGATATTTTGGAAATATGAGGCAACCACCTTTAATGGTTGTTTTGGTGTGCTGCAAAAAAGAGCACTCTTGTCAAATCCTAGCATGTGGATTCTTACATGTAAAATTATCATTTACCCCTCCACAATTATCAGAGCTAATATTATGGATAAGGATAAGAGTAAGAATCATATGTTGCAGACTATTTTTTCTGCACTTTTCTACACAGAGCTTAGAATCATTTTTATTTTGCCCTCCCTTCTAATGGTTGTGGCATTAGGATTGGAGACAGAGGTGTTGATTCAAAAAGCTGGATCCTAGCAAACAAAGCAGAAAGTCACATGTAACTCAACGAGGGCCCCTATGCAGTCTTCCAGTCATTCCTGCAGGTTCGAAATCATGCCTGGTGTCTATCCGTCAATGTGATCTCACTGTTCCCTTCCCTCCTTCTTTCCAGGAGGGGCCAACCCAACACTTTGGCCTTATCAGCCTCCGCAGATGCTGCTCTGTGTCTCTTCCTGCCAGTTCTGGCTCAGTGCGGTGTCTCCCAGGCCCACTGACTGTCGGTTGCCATAACGACATCGCGCACACGAGGGAGGCCTGGCGGAGCAGTGGTGGGGCCAGGTGGAGAGGAGGAGGTAGAACAGACAGCTGATCCACACAGCGTCCCAGCCAGGATGACACGGAGGCAGGTGACCATAGGAAGTGAGGCAGGGAAGGATGGGGAGGAAGCGGCAGCCCAGAGCCATGATTGCAAATGAGCAGAGCCTGGCCTCAAGAGAGGGAGGAAGAAGCTGGTGAGAAAAACGGGGAAGGAGAAAATAAAATGAGTAGAAAAACTCTACAAACAAGCATAAGAAAAATGGAAACCCAAAGAGGCATTTCTGCCACTGGAAATATGTCAAACTCAGATATGGTGAACATAGGAAAAGCATCCTTCTCTGTTGCCTACATGTGTTTACATTAATTTGAGGTTTTTGGGGTTTTGTTTTGTTTTCTTTTCCTTGATATGAGATCTTACATTGTCACCCAGGCTGGAGTGCGGTATTGGGATCGCAGCTCACTTCAGCCTAGACCTCCAGGCTCAAGCGATCCTCCTGCCTCAGTCTCCGAACTGGCTGGGACTACAGATGTACACCACTGCACCCAGCTAATTTTTTTACTTTTTGGAGAGATAAGGCCTCACTATGTTACCCAGGTTGTTCTCAAACTCCTGATCTCAAGAGATCCTCCCACTTCAGCCTTCCAAAGTGCTGGGAGGTCATACCTGGCGACTCTATGGCTTTAACATGAAATAAAAATCATTGACTACAGTCTAGCTCAATATGCCAGTCTTGGTTATGATAGACTACTGGTTCAGGCCCTATTTAAATTTGTGAAAAACATCTATGTGTCTTCCTCTTTGAATTGTTATAATAATTTCAATGAGTTGTTGAATATTCAAATGCTTGGTAAATGCTAGAACATTCAACAAATGTAAGAGTCATCATTTTCTCTTGATTATGTCATCATTGATGTTTAACATGCTTCTCTTTTACTCTCCCAGTCTCCTTTGGAAGATTTTCTGTTCTCTTTTTCCCCCCACTAATTATAGAGTATTTGGACACATATGCTTTTCTCATAAGAGCAATTAAAGTTTAACCTGTAAATCTGTAACTAAGCAAGTCCTGATAACTTTCACTTACCTTAATTATTATTACTAGAAATAAAAGTTGGAACCTAATTCAATTTAAATATCCTTATCTATATTCTACCAAAAAATCTCTTTATGTTGTATAACTTTGATGAATTTCTTTTTCTTGGAACCAAGTGTGCTGGAGAAGTATACAAAATAAGGGAAGGAAAAATATATATTGTGCATATGTATATATAAAATCACCACAGCTGAAAGTGACTTTAGAGATCGCCCAGTACAATGCTCTTTCTTTCTTTTTCTTTTTCTTTTCTTTAAAAAAAAAAAAAAAAAAGTCTTGCTCTGTCGCTCAGGCTGGAGTGCAGTGGCGCAATCTTAGCTCACTGAAACCTCCACCTCCCAGGTTCAGGATTCTCTTGCCTCAGCCTCCTGAATAGCTGTGACTACAGGCATGCACCACCACACCTGGCTAGTTTTTAATAGAGACAGGGTTTTACCATGTTGGCCAGACTGATCTCGATCTTCTGACCTCAGGTGATCCACCTGCCTCAGCCTCCCAAAATGCCAGAATTACAGGTGTGAGCCACTGTTCCCAGTCATTTTTAAGGTTTAATTTGTGATCAGTCATCTAGTAAACTTGATGAAATGCAGATACTGATGTGGAAGGGACAAGATTGCAGTTCTAGTAAGTTTTCAGGGGATGCTGATACTTTAAGTCCTTGAGAGGCAAGAATCTATTAGAGTGATATTCAAAGATTTGGCATTAAACACTTTTTAAAAATAAAGTCTGATGAAACAACTAAAAGCGCACCTTCACGCACTAAAGTTGTAGGCGGTGGTGGTGCAGAAGCAGAGACCTAGCTGTCCTTCAACATTCCCTGGAAGACTTTGGGTCATTTTCTAGCCACTTCATTGGGAGTCTGTAGAACATGATATGAAATGCACAAACTAATCTAAACACTTTAATCCTAAAGAGACAAGGACTTGAGAGAGTTAAAATAGCAATAAATATATTCATAATATTTTATATCCAAACACGTACATTTAAATATTCTCATAATATTCTGCTCCCAACACATACATTTAAATACTCTCATGAAGACATTTGTTTTTGCATTATAGAAAACAGTTGCTGCTTTTTAGCATCCAAACCCTAATTAATAGGAAGCCAACCATAAGGTTAAAACTGACAGACAGCACTCCTCTGTGTCTTAGCAGGTAAGCTGAGAGGTAGTGACCTAGGATACACCACCAAAAGCTCATTCTAGACACTTCAGACCTAGAGGGAAGGAAGCAAAAATTAAGAAACAGCTAAACAGCATTCGTGTTGGTGATGTTGGAAGCAGAATCTCAAGAAAGGTGGTTTGAGGGGTTACTGCTCTTCAAGGTCAGTCATAGGAAATGTCTCTAAGGAAGTGACAATTTATCTATTTTTATAATTGTGAAAAATAAAACAGTGACCACCATGAGGTAAGTAAAGAGATGTGCCAAGTAGAGCAAATAGAATATCAAACAGGGAGAGCAGAAGAATTTAAGAGGATTGGAGACAAGGTTTGATACTGGTAAACACACAGGGACAAGGCACCCCGTTGGGGTGTTTGAGCTAGCACAGGTGCCACAGGGGCTGTCTTGGTCTGTTTTGCATTGCCATAAGGGAATACCTGAGGCTGAGTAATTTATAAAGAACAGAGGCGTATTTGACTCACAGTTCTGCAGGCTGTACAGGAAGCATGGAACTGGCATCTGCTTTGGGCAAGGGCTTCAGGAAGCTTCCAATTTAAGCAGAAGGGAAAGGGGAAACAATATGTCACATGGCAAGAGAGGAAGAGAGAAAAAAGGAGTTGCCAGGTTCTTCAACAATCGGTTCTCACAATGAAGTAACAGAGCAAGAACCTAGTCATTACAGGGAGAAGGACAGCAAGCCAATCATGAGAGGTCCATCCACCCCCATAACCCAAACATCTCCCTTGAAGCCTCACCTTCACCACTGGTATCAAATTTCAGCCTGAGATTTAGAGGGGATACATGTCCAAACTACCTCAGGGACTTAAATAACTTGGCACATTACCTTGGATAGTCTCTAAATTCCTTGAAAGCTGGATTTCATCCCCAATCCCAGGCAAAATTTTGCCAGATGTACGGGCTGATACATCTCAACAAACACATATTTGGCATCCATTACACTGTGTCCTTTAGGAACACAGGACAAGTAGAAGTTGACAAGGTGAGGTTGGGACACCAACTGAAAAATCACGAACTTCAAAATCAAAAATAAATGAAAGAAAAAATTCATCCTAAAGTCTCCGTGGCTTTTTGACCATAGCTTGTAATTCTTAGGGTACTGAAACTAGAATTAGGGAGAACTTTGGAATAAGGGTGTATTTCTGTTTCCTTCAAGAAGCTTTCTAAAGCAAAGTAAATATAAAGTGTATCAAATCTGAAATAAAGAAAAATGGTCGCTAATAAAATTTGGTAGATGGTAAAAATCATCTACCAAATTTTAGCTATAATTATTTACTTATTTTTTTTTTTTTTTTTTTTCCTGAGACAGAGTCTCACTCTGTCACCCAGGCTGGAGTACAATGGCATAATCTCAGGTCGCTGCAGTTTCCACCTCTTGGATTCAAGCAATCCTCCTGCCTCAACCTCTGGAATAGCTGAGACTACAGGCACACACCACCATGCTTGGATAATTTTTGGATTTTTAGTAGAGACCGTGTTTTGCCGTGTTGGCCAGGTTGGTCTTGAGCTCCGGACCTCAAGTGATCCACCCACCTTGGCCTCCCAAAGTGCTGGGCTTACACTAGTGAACCACCGTGCCTGGCCATGATTTTTAGTTTTATTTTAATGATTTTATTTTTAAAAACTTTGAGGCTGGGCATGGTACTGACACCTGTAATCCTAACACTTTGGGAGGTCAACACAGTAGAAGGATTGAGCCCAGGACTTCATGAGCACCCTGGACAACATAGTTAGACTCCTTCTCTACAAAAATTTAAAAAATTAGACAGGCACGGTGGGTGGTGTGTGCCTTTAACCCCAGCTACTCAGGAGCTGAGGTGGGAAGATAACTTGAGCCTAGTGATCTGAAGCTGCAATGAACTACGATAGTGCCACTGCACTTCAGCCTGGGAGACAGAGGAAGACTTTGTCTCAAAATAAATGATTTAATTTGGTTTTTTGCTTTCTTGCTATTTTATTTGTATCTTTTCAGATTTCCTTCCTGTGTTTCCAAGTTTTCTTTGTTTCTCTTACTTCTTATAATTTGAAAATTATGCATCCCATTTTTCCAACTAATGGTTAATTTACATTTAAAATACCTTTATATATCTTTATTTAATTCTATCTATATATATATTTATCACTTCAAAAATAAAGTATATGAATTTGAGAATTCCCCCCACACACATAAAACGAAAGATTTTGCAAGCAATTATTCACACTCCTACTCTAAGATTTTGCTGGTGTAATTTGGGACTTCATATCCAGAATATTATCATTTTTAAAACATTTTAAGTTTCTTTTGGAAGAATTACTTAAATTTTTCTCTATTGATTTAAAATTCTTACTATATTAAAAACAGCGATTTAAATATTAACTCTGATTGGTTTTCATTACAACTCTTTTTTTTTAAACACAATCTAGTCTAATCCCAATTGGTTTTAATTACACACCATACTTTCTTTTATTACACATAATCCCTGTAATTTAGTTTTTTAGTTTGAGTCATTCTTCAGTCAGCTGGAATACTTTTTTGAGTTTTTTAAAAAATCTTTTTTTTTTTTTTTTTTTTTTTTGCAGAAGAAGAATGTGGGTAAAAACATTTGGAGTCCTTTCATGTCTATTATTATATCTCTATTGCTCTCAAATATGAATGATAGCCTGCCTGGCTGTAACATTCTTGAGTTTCAATATATTTCTCTCAAGAAATATATTGTGTTATTTTCTCAAGAGCCTTGTGTTATTTTCTCATGTGTATTTTTCAAATTGTAGAGAGTCTGATGTCAACTTGAGTTTTTTCTTTTTATAAACAAATATTTTTCCCTGGCATTTTGTTCTTTAACTTTTCTTTTTTCAATTCAAGACTTTCGTCATCATATTTTTAGATCGGCTATTTTGCCTTGGTTTTAAGTCCCCATACTCCCACACCCCCACCAACCCCCAAGAAAACAATCTTCTGATATTTCTTTGGCAATTGCTTTCCCTATAATTGCTCTGTTTTCTCCTATATGTACCTTTGACTTCTTGGATTTGTCATCAGTGCAACTTATATTTTTGATTGGCACATTTATCTCATTTTTTTTCATCTAAATTCTAGGATAATTTCTCAACCTGGTATATTAATTCTCTGATTTGATCTTCTGTAATATTCAATATATGTTTTCTGCTATCATACCATTAACAAACCTTTGTTAATTATTCATTTCATCTGAAAAGTATTCTTTAGGATGCGTGCCTTGTGCAGAGACACAATAACTCCATGAATCAGGTAAATTTTGGACAATTGTCTCTAATTTCCCCTTGCAGCAGATCTGTTCCATAGATTCGTGGGAGCATTTATTCCTCTGCAAGTTCTCTTCTCTTGAACTACTTGGTATTTCATGTATCTCGTCACATTTATCCATTTGCTTGTCTTGATAGTTATGGACATATTTCCATTTTGTTTTGTCTCTCAGTTCTAAGAGAAGATAACTGTAAAATGCATTGTGCTGTTCTCACACCAAATTAGTGGGAAAAGTGTAGATTTGTTGTCTATTTATTTTGTTGCTTCGGACTTTCTCTTTTCTGTGGCAGAACGGAGTGCTCACTCAGGGAAGTCCAGCCAGGGTAACAGTACCCACTGACACCATTCCAAAGGAGTTATTCACCGTGACTCTTGCTAAAGCCCTTTTCTTTAACTGATGTGACTATATCCATTAGACACTGAAGGAAGCAGTGTATGTTACAAAGCATGATGTTAGCACCACACAGTTCCTGGAAAAGAACACTGCACTCATGCCTCTGTGGACCAACATCGTTGCACTTTCTCAGAATGTCAGTACTGCCCGTTGACTTGTCATGGCTCACCTTTGCCTCCAGCACCCATTGTAAACTTCCTGAAGCCCATGGGGTTTTTCTGTCACCTCAAATTCTTTTTCCCCAGGCAAAGTTTTCTATTAAGTCTGTGGATTCATACATTGGTCAGTACTGCCTCAAATCTGCCTCTACTACATTATGGCTAATAAAGCCCCTCCAAGAATCTGGCATAAAATATTATCCTTCCCTTACCTTTAGTACTATATGGGGTTTTTCTCAAGTTACAAATCCTTTTGATCATCTAAATGATAAATAGATGGGAGAGTTACATAGTAGATGAAGATAGCGATCATTATATGAAATTTGTTTTTCTCGTGTTTCTTTCTTTATTTTGATTTCTTGTTTTCCTTTGCACATTTCTGACAGTAAAGATGAACTAACCCTGTTTTTATAAAGTTGGTTAGTCAACTTCTGAGATTAACTGGAATCCTGAAATCTCTTAAATCTGCTTTGTCCAATAGAACATAGATTTCCATCTATGTTGATGGAAATATTCTTCTGAGCTGTTCAGTTTGGAAACTGCTAGAATCGTGTTGTCCTTGAGCACTTACAATGTAGCTAGTGCACCTAAATAACTTATTTTTAAATTTTATTTAATTTAAATTTAGACAACCTTGTGTGCCTAGTGGTTAGTATAACAGACAGCACAGTCCTAGAAAAACCTCTTTTAAGTTTCAACCATTTTTGAAAACCGAAGTTCCTATGTTTCACCCTGACATATAAAATCATAATGCTGGCTATGTGTTGGGGTGTGGTGGGTCTGCATTTTTAGATAATTATCTCCCTGATTCTTAATATGCATTCTGATGGTCTTGGAGGGTTGATTTGGTACCAGGCATAATGGAAAAGAGGCTGGCTCAGGTTAATGAACTTGTGTTTAACAAGCTTTAATACAAACTCAGAAACAGTGGATTACATACAGTTAAAGAACTTTGACTGGAAAAGGCTGAGCGTGTGTCACCATCCCCCTCCCTTGTGTGAGGTGGACTTTGCCTGTCAATCGCAGTGTAATTTTCTATCCAACCCACAGGCAGAATCCTAAAAAGGTTCCTGACAACCCCTAAGGATCAATCCTACCAAAGAAGCTTATCTGCTATCTGGATCAGGTGTTAACTAACTTTATCTGTATATGTCCAGATAGTACAAAAGTTGGGCATTGTGGGTCGTAAGATCTCTGCTACACCTACTCATTCTCTCATTGGACCTGTCACAGGCAATACTGAAATTAATGGCTGTGGCTGTGTTTTGATAAAATTTTATTTATGGACACTGACATTTGAACTTTATACAATTTTCCCATGTAATCTAAACTCTTCTTTTGATTTTTCTCAATCATTTATTAATGTAAAAACTATTCTTAGCTCTTAGGCCATAAATAAACAGGCATCAAGATAGATTTGGCTGCAGGAGGTAGTTTGCCTATCCTCATTTAAATGATTGCTAAGGTGTCCTCTACTTCCAGTATTTTATGAGTCAAAGATTTTAAACACTAACATTTTTGGAGTAGAACATTAGTATAATATGCTTTTGTTCTTTATGTCTTTTCATACCATGCAATTCAGTACATAAAACACAGATATAATAGTGATAATTCTTGAGATAAAAGCTCTACAACATGAACAGTTAGTATGTGAAGGTATGAAGGCAAATACAGTGAGTGGTCTCTTAGCTTTTTTCCTGTCTTTGTCCATTTTAGTTTCTATCACAGAATATTATATACTGCATGGTTTACAAACAACAGACATTTATTTCTCACAGTTCTGGAGGCTGGGAAGTCCAAGATCAAGGTGCCAGCAGTTTCAATGTCTGATGAGAGCCCTGTTCTTAGTTCATAGGCTGCTGTCTCCTTTCTGTGTACTCCCAAGATGGAAAGGGAGAGGGTGCTCTCTGGAGTCTCTTTTTATAAGGGCGCTAATCCCATGACCTTATTACCTCTCAAAGTCCCCACCATTGGCGATGAGGTTTTAACATATGAAATTTTAGGAGATATAAATATTCAGTGTATAGTACTGCCCTGCAATCTATATCCAACATTTTGAAAGACTTTCGAGTAAATTTCTACTAAATTTTATTTCAACACAAGTAACAAAACTTTTAATTTTAAAATAATCCATATCATTTTCTTTAAAAGAACAGTTCTATCCCTAATTTTATTAACATTTAGCTTCCTTCTGTGCTGATTAAAGTGAATGGATACGTCACAAAAGCAAAAGCTTCATTATAGACAAACTAACAGATCATTGTGAGGATTTCCCCAAACATCAGCTGCCGTCACCGAGTAACTCCCCTCCATTTCATCCTCCCATACCACTCAAGATTCTAGGTGAGAGCACGTTTTTGGGATGGAGCCCCAATCTCACAGGGCTTCACATTTCCCAAACACCTCCATACTTCAGGCTTTGGTGATTTGCTGATTATTATTATTGTTTCCACCCAAATGTTACACTTCTTTTCCCATTTTATTTATTACAGAGTCAAGATGCAGAAGACAGTTCAATATCCATATGTGATTCTTACACATGCAAATCTTTAAAATAAGGACATTCCACTCTTTTTCAACCATTATTGAGGAAGTTTATACTTTGTATTATTTTTCTAACCAAAGACTTGAAACACGTTCTCACACATACCAGGATGTCTACAATAGGCACAATGTATACCTAAATTGCAACTGTGTTCTAAGAGCAATTTATTTCTACAGCTGTACTATTGGTTTTAGTTAACACTTAGCTTCCTTCTATGCATATTAAAATGAATATGCAAAAAAAGTAAAAGCTTTCACAATCTTCTCTTCTATATTTTGTCTTCTTTTGAAAGCTTGTATTTTCTTAACTTCTAGATTTAAATTTTAATTGCATTTGGCCATTTCTTTTTTTATATACTACTATGTTGAAAGCAAATTTCAAAAGTCTTCTCTAGCTAATACTCACAGCTCCAACTTATTTAATAAAATTTTCTTCCTAAACAAATGGGAAATTACTAGCAACCTCTGACTGGGTTGTTAATTACTATCCTGGGGCCAAGTTGATGTAACATTTTTAGCGATACTGAAAAACAAAACCAAGAACAAACAAAACAATCTTATCTACAGGTTTTAACATATATTCACCAAAATTGAAATAAGGAAAATGTCTCACATGTGCCTATTATTCAGTATTTTTCTTAAGTGAAATTTACTCAAGAACTTAAAATATTGAAGCAGGGAAAAAATTCATTAAAAAAATGTAGGCGCACCACTTCTCTATGAATTCCAAACATAAAAATACTTAAGCATTATGTAAAAATAAGAGAACCAAACCACTGCTTTATTTTAAATAAAAACACTTAATGTTTTGCCCTACTTCGATCAATCTATCGGATGATATACATAGATCAAATCTCAGAATTTTATAGATAAAAGAGAATTTTTAAATCCTCTTATTTTTAGATAAGAAATAAAGTCTAGAACAGCAATTTATGTTCATTAGTGGTGGAATCAGCACAGGAATTTAGGCTGTCTGGGCGGTGAACGAGTTACACTAAAATGATTTGATTTCTGGTGGCTTTTGGGGAGGGAGCTTCAATAAAAAGATGTTTGATATTAAAAAATAGCTCACACATATGGTATATCTGTCATTTATATTACTTGTAGGCTAAGATAATCAATACATCAATATTTCCCCCTTACAGCCCCAAATAAGAAGCACCACTCAGTGGCATTATTCTACTATTTGACCCATCCAGTATAAGGTTGAGATATGTGAACAGTCATCATCATCATCAACATCATCCTCAATTGTTTTTTAAACAGAAAATACACTTTGCTACAAACCTGTACACCTAATACGCAAGTGACCAAGATAATATTTTGCCTTGGGTGATAAGAGTTACAAGTTAACATTGAGAAAAATGGGAAAAGGGCACAGACTTCAGAGTCTAAATACCTTGGTCTAAATGAATGCTTCCCAGCATAGCCAATGGATTTGTGAACCTATTGAGCTCCTGCATCAAACAAATTAATAATGAAAGATAGCACAGTACTGTCACAAAGGTAAGTGAAATTGAATGTAAGTACTGGTAGAGTTTTTGAAGTAATAGTCTACATACGACAGTCTTCTTTCTTGTGTCTGTCTCTCTCTACGGGAGGTCTTGTGGTAATTTGCTAAATATTACTATTTTGGTCTGACAGAACTCTTACAATTTTGCATACCTAACTGCTACAATTACTTAAACAAGGATGATACATAATTGCTGAATTATAAATCCACTAGCCCAAGAGATTAAAAACTATCACAAGAAACTCAAACATTTTCTTATTTCTCAAAACCACTGAGCCAAAAGTGGAGGTGATTGATTCTCCTTCTGTATCTTAAGAGAAGCACAGAAATAGAAGTTTGGAAGAGTCAAACTTCAGATTTCTGGTGAAATGAAACTAGTAGGCTAATTTTCTTCTTCTTTTTTTTTTTTTTTAGAAAGAAAAGAGGTTGAGGATTTTTGCTCTGACAGCTCATTCAATGACTCCAGAAAGCGGTGGGAAAGAATTTGAAAATCTAAACTTCAAAGGAAAATAATATGAACATATCTCCATGTAATAAATAAGTAGCCCTGCATTACCCGCCAACCCTGACTGCTATTATTAGGCCCCACTGGTTAATTAGACAAAAACATGTTTGGCTAATTTCCCTTCAAATTCACCATCAATGTCAACACATTTGGATAATCCTAAAAGGCTGGGAATTTACAAGTCATAAACATTTAACAAAATAGCTAAGCTTCTTAAAATACTTTCCCCATCTGTGTTAAACCACAGAAAATCTAACCGGAACAATATTATATCCCCCAGCCTACAGGAGTTTTTATTAAAGATAGTAAGTCACTTAGAGCTCTATGCTTTAAGTGTAGAAGGGAAAACACAGCACAACCAAACAAAAAAACCCAGATTTGTGTTAGGTTAATAATCCAAGATTAGCAGGAAGAAGTAGGTATTAGCTTGTAGTTAAACAGCCATTTTCCACTGCGCATATATATAGTCCACGTTTCACATATTAGTTTTTGTTCAATGGCCCGCCCAATTGAAAATTATTGGCTCTACACAGCCTGGCTCTCCACATCTCTCCCTCTTCCTCTTTGCTGAAGCCAGCCTTGTCTTCCATGCATTCCTTAAATTTACCAGGTCTTTCCCTTCCTGAGGGCTTCACACATGCCTGGAACATTCTTTGTCTAATTGCTTGTGTCTTCTTTGTTCCGTGAAGCTATCTGCATGGATGCCACCTTCTCAATGATACCTTCTCTGATTGCTCTTTCATAGAAGTTCCTCCTCCCAAGGAATTCTCTATCACAGCACCATGTTCAGTTTTTTCACTGCATTTTCCATAGAGTGTGTGTGTGTGTGTGTGTGTGTGTGTGTGTGTGTGTGTGTATCTCCACCTTCTACCCTCTTAAGACAGATTTTTGTTCTCTCATTCAAAGTCTGTGCTTGGCTGATTAAGTTTCATTCTATTTCATTCACCAATGTTCATTCACACAATAGCATGGTACTTGATACACAATAGGTACTCAGTAGAGATCTGCTTAATGAATCAATCCACAAAGAACAAATGGATGAAAGAATGGATGGATGAGTCCCTGGTCTTTAACTGCTTTCATTTAAAACCAGAACAAATTACCAAATGTCATCATCCTGTCAAACTTTGTCATAGAGATTCTCTCTATAGAAATCTAACAACTTATTATTTAGATTTCTGGTAACTTTGACATTCTTTCATTTAAATATGATTTTTTTTAATTAGAAAAACTAAAATGTCCAGTTTGCAAATAAATATGCCACATTACACAAGAAGAAATCTAATTCGTAATTAGAAGCTGAAGCTCCATGGCATTTAGAGTTAATTTATTTTTTAAAAACTCCTTTTGGCATACATGTATACTGTCAGCTTTTACAGCTTGGAAGAAGACACACACCATTACTTCTACAAGGCCTTTCCAAGTGCTTCAGTCTCTGCTCCTGAAAACTTTAGCTTTCTAAATCTCATTCTCACAGCCACATTTATGGGTCCTGCCTCACCACCTCCCAGACCCCAAAGCAATAACAAAACACCTATTTCCTTTAATTCTCATTCCAACCTAATTCAATTGCATATATCCCCACCTTCTACTTTGGTGCTTCTCTTTTTGGCTCAACTTCTAGGACCTTTTATTTAGTTACTTAGAAGCCTTATTCATTTAAGAGTAACTTTTTAAAACCTATAAATGTGTTTTCACTGTTTTCTTTCAAATTATCATCTGGACAGTGAAGCCTGGCTTTTATTCTGATGACCTGGGAACTTCTTCAACTCTCTTCGGACATTTGTATTCCCTACTCTGCTTAATGCACTGAAGCTCTAGGCCTTGACCCCCACAGCTGCTTCTTAAACACCAGTCATCTCTC